CTCTCTCAAAACCTAGCCTTTTCTTTCAGCCGTCATCCGACCCCACTTTCTTTGTTTCCCTTCGGTTTCTTCCTCCTGTCTCTCTCTTCCCAGATTTTCTCTGCCGTCACCTCTCTCTCCAAAAACCCCCCTCTAGCCTTCTGGTTTTTTCCTACCCACAGCCGCCAACCTCTCCTCCCCTCAAACCCTCTCATTTCTCTCCTTTATATAGGCATCCGAAATCCCCCCGTAACCTAAGACCAAGGGATGAGATTTGGAGCTGCATTTTGGCTCTTCCTATCAAACCATCAGATGGCATTTGATTTTGTACCTTTTATGTTGTTGAATCAAAGCCAGGTGATCATGTACTGGCTTGATCCAACGGAGCAACAAAAATCAATGAAAAATGGAGTGTCCTTCCGTGCATGATTTCTGCTTGAAATGTGATACGGAGAAAGGGCTAGGATCTTGTGCAACTTAAAGTGCATGAGCTTGCTCTCTTTTTTTTTTTTCCAATGAATCAGTTAATTAATAATAAACAAATTTTCTTAATAAAAATAAGATAAGCAAAAATTAAAACCAAATCAACTAAAAAAATAAAATAAAATAAAAATTTAAAATTTTGGTGTCTACAATGAGTGTCGTTACATCAAATTTTCTTTTCATTGTTTATAATGATAATATAATAAAATTCCTTTAAGATTATCATTGATATGCATTAAAAGTGAATGTACTCTCTTCATCTTCTTCTCCTTTTTTGGATTTCATTTTCTCACTTTGTTATCTAGCAGTAGTTGTTGTAGATACCAAATTTTTCTCAATTTTAAATATACTATTTTTATTTTAATTTTTCACTTATAAATTGTTTAAGTAATTATTTTAATTTTGCTTTGTAGGTTTATGCAAAAAGAAAAAGGAAAAATGGATTTTTAAATGGAGGAAAAATAGTAAAAGATTTTCATTTGTTTCTAACCCAATTAAATGACCATACAAAAACCCATCCAAAGTCCAAATGAAATCCAAGAAAAAATTTAGCAAAAGCCTGGAAGTAAAGAGGCCCGTTGGCCCAACTCTTTTGTTAAAAGAAAAACAAAATTGATGTTTCACACGCAAATGTTGTAAAATTAATAAAATAAACTACTATAATATCAAGTAAAATATTGGAGAAAGAAGTAAAGCAATGGAGAGTGATTTTCTTGTATTCCAACTAATACAAAAGTCCACCAAAAAGATGTCAATGTACCTCTATATATAGGTACTATAAGATTAAAGGTACATCAATTATATTAAACACCCATTAGTACAAGAATACGAAAAACCCTATGAAATGGTTTCTCCACTACATGAATAGATTTATGGATTGTAACTTCTATACATAATGTAGCAATAAATCAAGAATTAATTCTCTTAGAAATACAAAGGGACATCCACACTTTTAGTTGTTTCATAACAGCACATGAATTCCTCCTATTTTCGCAGAGGAAGGAACTAGTACAAGCGGATTACGCACCCGTCTGATTCGGTGGTAGTTCAGTCCCCTCCAAATTATCCTTGAATCTCTTTAGGTCCTCTCCCTCTCCTTTAGCGTAGGATAATCTATCGTATTGATAAAAAAAATAAAAATAAAAATAAAAAACTGTACAAGCAAAGCCGTGAGCAGTTGGTGGGCGGTACATACAAATGCATTGAAGCAAATAAATACTCCTTAGCATTGTGTAGTTAGGGCCTTAGGCCGCTCATAGGACCTATAGTATATACAAGGAAGAAGACAATAATACTAATGTGTATATGATTACGGAGTATGGAGAGAGACGTGGGGACTTATTCAAGTTGGAAGTCAATTACAATAAGCTTTCGTATGTATCCAAATGAATGTCGTTACCTCAAAATGTTTTTTTCATTGTTTATAATAATAATAATATAATAAAAGTCCTTTCCGATCAATGATGTAGTTGCGTTAAAAGTGCATGTAAGAGTCTTTCCTCGGCCTTCCTCATTTGCTTTTGGCTTTTTTCATACTTTGTACGATTTACTTCCCTTTTTTTTTTTCCTCTTTTGGCTGCCGATAAAGGTAACTGTAATTTTAGGAGCATATCAGGAAACATAGAAGCAAAAAGCCTTTGGACCTAGCTAGCAAACTCATACATTGTCTACTTAAAATACGGATTAATATTTTGTACATTAAAAATGTAGTAATTTTTTATACTAACAATTTTGAATATATGTCACATATGTCAGATTTGAATTCATATTATGTAGTATAATCTAAACCTGTTAGTGTAGAAAAAATTATCTTAATTTGAATTCATATTATGCAGTATAATCTAAACCTGTTAGCGCAAAAAAAAATATCTTTAAAATAATAATAATTTTGTGACCATTAATTAAATCTCAGCATGATTAGAGTACTGATTCGTCCGACTACTATTGAAATACGCGTCCTCTTTGAATGTTTGCTTATATAACAAGCGTCCCAATTAAATTCCGCAGCGCCTTGTTTTTGGTGGGGGAATATATATTTTTTTTGATAACCCAAAACATGCCCCGACTCGAATCCTTAGGATCCGAGTCGGCACATCAAACCGGAGTGCTGCACCATGGCCCCACGCAGCGACGCCGGGCGAGTCACAGAGGTTTAAGTAGTCCAGGGTAAGTTTCAAATCCAGGACCTCAAGGGTCCTTAACAACCCGCTTACCGCTGGATCACCCCTATGAGGACTTGGTGGGGGTATATTGTTAACACTAACAGAGTGCCTATTTTTTTGTTTTGAAATGTTTTGTTAACAGTCCGCTTAACAGATATGCAGAGTAAGAAATTAAATCATTTGCACAATTTGCCACACCCCAAAAAACCCAAAAGAAAAAAAATAGTGATAGCACCATGTGGGGGAGATGCATGGATAATTACTATAAGACCTTACGTGACTAGAGTCGTGCTTTTGTGGGAATTGGGAATATGTGAATGATGAGGTAATTTTTTGCAAGGTGAGGAGGTGGGCATATCAAAACCAGCAACGGAGTATCGACGTTGATGGAGGGAGGATACAGTGTCACTCCTCCGCACAATTCAGCAATTCAAAGCCACCATTTGCCTAATTCCTTAGATTATAGTTGAAAAAAAAATCGATCAAATGTTGAAGAAGAGAGTCAAATGCATATACCAATAACTATGTGCCCAGTAAATTACACCTTGTACTCATAGACAATTTACACATCTAATAACTCATGAGAATGATGCTCAAAATGGCAATCATTCCATGTAGTACAAGGAGAAGGAAAAACAAAAAGAAATAAAAAGACAAGCGCTTGAAAATCAGTTGACTCCTACTGCCATCAGAACTACAGTTCAATACACACTTGAACAACCTCCAAAACTGTTTCTTCACCCTCTTCAACATCTGATCTGCTCATAATAATTAAAAAAACACCCCTGCCATGCTGACTTAGCACGGCAAAGGACAGCATTTTTTGTAAAAAAAAAATTCCGATGAAAAGCTACAGAATCGTGATATCCTCTACCAGAAAAGAATCTGTCAAGCCCTTTTTTTTTTACTTGACTTGTTCTACCATGTTGACTAAGCCCGGTAGTGTCAGTCGTTTTTTTTTAAAAATAAACTTTTTTGCCTTGCCATATTTCGTCAGCACACGGTAGGCATAATTTGGTACATCATTCTCATTGGAGCAATGTTTGACTGACTTTTTTTTTCAGATATAATTTAAGGAATTAGCCTTACCATATATAACTAGTGCTATTAATCGAGCCGAGTATTTGACCGCCATCGTGCTTAACTCGAGCTAGACTTGAGCTCGCTTGACTAAACAAACGGGGCTTGGAATGCGTTTGAACTCGACTTACCAAATGGGACATGACTCGAGTTCGAGCTCATGCTCGAATCGTTTACAACAAACGAGCTGAGCTCGCACGAGTTTGAGAACAAAACCTATGATTTCCAGTTTCTATTCTTCTGACTTATAAAATGATATATATGTCCTTCCTTATTGAGCCCAAGTGAACTATTCGAATAACAAATGATTCGAGTTTACTTGGCTCGTTAATTAACTGAATAAATTTCTAACTCAAACTTGACTCGTTTATTAAAATTGATGAGCTGAGTTCGAGCCTTATTAAGTCGAACTCAATAAACTTGAGCTCGCTTGACTAAACAGACGAGGCTTGGAATGCGTTTGAACTCGACTCACCAAATGGGACATGACTCGAGTTTGAGCTCATGCTCGACTCGTTTACAACAAACGAGTTGAGCTCGCACGAGTTCGAGAACAAAAACCTATAATTTCCAGTTTCTGTTTTTCTGACTTATAAAATGATATATATGTCCTTCCTTATTGAGCCCAAGTGAACTATTCGAATAACAAATGATTCGAGTTTACTTGGCTCGTTAATTAACTGAATAAATTTCTAACTCAAACTTGACTCGTTTATTAAAATTGATGAGTTGAGTTCGAGCCTTATTAAGTCGAGCTCATTAGACTTGAGCTCGCTTGACTAAACAGACGAGTCTTGGAATGCGTTTGAAATTGACTTGCCAAATGGGACATGATTCTAGTTCGAGCTCATGCTCGACTCGTTTACAACAAACGAGCCGAGCTCGCACGAGTTCGAGAACAAAAACCTATAATTTCCAGTTTCTATTCTTCTGACTTATAAAATAATATATATATATCCTTTTTTATTGAACCCAAGTGAGCTATTTGAATAACAAATGATTCGAGTTTACTTGGCTCGTTAATTAACTGAAGAAATTTCTAGCTCAAACTTGACTCGTTTATTAAAATTGATGAGTTGAGTTCGAGTCTTATTAAGTCGAGTTCAATCGAGTTTTCGAGCCACTCATTCTATTTACCAGCACTAATACCTACCTTACCTTACGTCATACTACTAGAAAGCAGACATCTTGATGATGGTATCAAAATTCAACGGCCCTTTCAGTTCATTTAGACTAGTACTGCATGCTATCCGTTTGCTATCTTTCTGCATGAAGTCCTCGCACTTTTCTCTACCTAAAAGGCTCCTACTATCTGATTCGGCCATTTATTAGCATCGAGTTTAGTATATTGCTGCCTACATCCCTTCCCACTTCCTTTCTCTTCCTTCTCCGACAACCCCCACCAACCCCCCCACCCCACCCCCCAAAACAAAAAAAAAAAACAAAAAAAAAAAAACTTCTCTTTTCCAACGTTTAGCATTGGGCTGCGGATTGTTGATCAGATCCACCCATCGCCACTGACTGCCTCCCTCATAAACCATGGCTGCGAAGGTAAGCCGATTCTCTTGCTAGCTTTCCAAACCATCCCTCAAATGTTCGTGATATTGTTTTGCATCCTTCCCCCCCCCCCCCCCCCCCCCTTTTTGGTGTTTGCTCAATCTGGAAATTTTAATTGCAAGTCTATCACAGCACCTACGACGTGAGATATACTTCGTTTTATGTTAAGATCTCTTGCCAGATCTCTCAGCTTAAACTATTAGTACCATATAATTTACATTTCTTGATTGTTACAAATATACACAGTGATTTAACCAGGATTTTTTTTTTCTAGGGGCCAAAATTTTTCATAATAAAATTATCTCAAGATGTTATGCTCAAAATGATTTCCACGGACATATATATAAACTCTCATAATATAAATTAAAATTATAAAAAATTAGGAGGACCAACTTTAATTTTACGCATATATTTACACGCTATGAATTAAAATTTTCAAAAATTAAGAGGCCACGTCCCCATCAATCCCCTTGGCTCCGTCAGTGTTAATACACATGTGGATCGAGCTTGATTATTTTGCTCCGATAATATGCAACCATACAGTTCACTGTTAAATGAGACTCAAGGTCGATCTTCAGTGCCCCTGCTGCTACAAGAAGGTCAAGAAAATCCTCTGCAAATTTCCTCGTGAGTCCCTTATAATTATCAATTCTATCTCTTATGTTTTCATTACCAGTACACTAGTAGTTCTTTAGTGCAAGTACAGTTGGTTGGAGGACATCCACTTTTCCACCGACTACGTACATAGGCATGTGCACCACCATGAGTTACAATTTCTTTTTTCTTTTTTCCTTTTTGGGGTCATTTTTGAACAGAAGTTAGGTAATGTGGCTTATGAAACTACTAGTGATCAGTTAGGGGCTTTATTTTGTGTGGACAAGAATTTGAGTTTTTTTTTTTTTTTGGGGTGATGCTCAATTTTTTGGGCAAGAGAAATCCGAGACCAGGTATATGATGAGAAGCAAAATCTGGTGACCATCACCGTGGTGTGCTCTAGCCCGGAGAAAATCCGCGACAAATTATGTTGCAAGGGTGGCAAAGTCATTAAGAGCATTGAGATCGTGGAGCCTAAACCCGACGAGAAGCCCCCAGTGCCGGAAAAGCCCAAGAAGAAGCCTAAACCCGACGAGAAGCCCCCAGTGCAGGAAAAGCCGAAGAAGGAGCCTAAACCCGACGAGAAGCCCCCAGTGCCGGAAAAGCCCAAGAAGGTGCCTAAACCCGATGAGAAGCCCCCGGTGCCGGAAAAGCCCAAGCCGTGCTCGCACCCGCTAGTTCCAGTGGTGTTCCGCTGTGTCCCATGTTTGGAAGGGTACGGAGGGGGACCATGCTACTGTGGGTACTGGCGTCCCATGCCCCTGCCACGCTGTTATGGTAGTTATGGACACGGGTGCGGGTGCGGGTGCGGTTGCGGGTGCAGGTACGGGTATGGGAAGGGATACTGGTACAGCTGGTGTGATTATTTCAGTGAGTAGAACACTGGGAGCTATATGATTATGTGAGAGGAGAGGAGAGGAGGGGTATGATATGATATGAAAAGCGTCCAAATTAATCAATTAATTTTGTTTGGTAGGCGGCACATGCAAATGCATTGAAGCAAAATAATACTAGAGGCCCCTCTCATGTGTATACATGATTATGGAGTATGGAGAGATTAAACTTTTGTATGTACTTAAATGAATAAGCTTTCTTAAGTGTCAAGTTACATTTTTGTAAAGATGTTTGTGTCAATGTTCAGATATTATATAGTTTTGACATATCAATAAAAATTTTTATCGTTTTGAAAAGAAAAAAAAAAGAATGTCATTACATCAAAATTTCTTTTCATTTTTTATAATAATAATAATAATAATAATAAGTCCTTTTCGATCATCATTGATATGCATGCGTTAAAAGTGGATGTACTCTCTTCTTCTATTTTATTTTATTTTTTTTTTGGATATCATTTTCTCGCTTTGCTCTCTAGTAGTAGTAGTAGTTAAAGTTTGATGTTCACGCAATAACAAATGTTAAAGTTTGGTCAACAAAAGAGCAACCAACGTTAGTTTGATCATCAATTTTCTAATTCATCAACCAACAACCTTCCAGAACAGACGTGGCATGGCATGGCTGTAAATGGAGTATACAGTAGCAAGCAAGACAAGAGACGTCCTGTTGGATTATTACAATAAAATTGAGGTCCGTGCGACGTGGATTGAGTAAGTCGTTGTCTTGTCCTTCCAATTCCAAATCCTTTATTTCAGTGGATCCATTCATTGTGGTCTAAAGTAAAAAGGGATTTTACTCTTTTTTTTTTTTTTGTTTTTGTTAAAACGGTAACATCTCTATAATCTAATCTAACCTAATTTAGAAAAAGGAAAAGTCGACGAAAGTTGAATCATCATCGAAGGAAACCACCGAAAGTGGCAGCCATATATAATGATAAATTGGTGGGAGGTAAGAATTGAATTATCAACCTTCCACACTACCAAGACTTAAGTTCTTGATGGTTTATCCTCTGAAATTGTATTTTGAAGCTTTTACTCTCTAATTCTCTAAAAAAAAAAAAAAAGTGTCTTTGTGGCAGGGGGTTTTGGTTGGGTGTGGCATGAAAGTGACCACTGGACTCGCAATCAATTAGTGACATACTACTACAGTAACTTGGATTGCAAGTCTCTCAAAGTCCAGCTATTTATTTGCAGTTGCAGCCGGCGAAGTGGTTGCGGTGGTTAGTCATAATACCTAACCGTTTTGAGGGCAGGATAGGAAGGAACAAAGTTGCAAAATTGCAACGAACACCCCCGAAAATTATGAAAATGCAGAATCTTTTCCTAGAATTTGGCTCCGAGGATGTTTTTGAAACATTTTACTATAGGTAAAAAACTTTTACTATAAATGTTTTTAATGATGTTTTTGGGGTTTTTTTGAATATATATTTTGAAATATTTTTAAAATTTAAAATTTTAATGGGATATTTTTAAAATTTTATAAAATCTTACAACCACCCACCATTGCCCTCCCCCCGTCCCTCCTCCCCACCCCCTCCCGCGAACCCAAACAGGATCCTTTGTCCAATATATCTGTTCATTTTTCCTGTCCAATGCAAAACTATGTAGTTCCACTTACTAATACTGCTGATGTGGCACATAACATTGAATGCATATTTAATGGGTGTTTGGTAAATGAGTTTCAAATTCACATAACATTTGAAACCCATTTACCAAACACCCTTTAAATATGTATTCAATATTATGTGCCACATCAGCAGTATTAGTAAGTGGAATTACGTAATTTTGTATTCGACAGGAAAAATAGACAAATATATTGGACAGAGGATCCCATCCGCCGCCAACCCCCTCCTGTTATGATAACATAATGTACTTAAAAATGTTCTAGATTTTGTAAAACCTTAAGTGTATGTATAATAAAGTTTGCATCCTGTATTCTTAGGCATATCTTTATTTATTATACAATTTTATACAATTAGATGACTTGTAAAATGATAAATCTCAAGCTGTAGATGATTTTGAATAAATTGATTCACTATAGAAGCATTTAGTGATCAAAATGTTTAAATTGACTTTAGTTGGTCCAAAATCTATAAATCAACACATTGTAAGTCTAAGCTAATATTATTGCACCTCCTAGATAAAGTCCTAACTCCGCCGCTGCAATATAGTGTGCTTGGATAGAAGATTAATTGAAAATATTTTTTGTTAGAGCAACTTGCAGGCTATAAGTTACGATGTTAAATTGTAATTCTGACAAGGTGGCGCAGCATCTTTGCTAGACATGCTGAGTTTGCCAACAATCAAATTGTTTGATGCTCCAAGCTTTCTCCAGCCTCTCATTATGGCTGATTTATTGACTATTCCATAATAAAAGTTCCTGATTTTCCCGTAAAGAAAAGGATTGATTTTTCCTACACTGACAATGTATATGTTGTTAGTATTTGATGAATGATAATTATGCAAAAAAATTTGAAATCCAACTTTTGGATATGTATCATGAATTTAACGTTGATAGTGTATATACTGTCAGTATATATAAAATTGACCCTAAAGAAAAAAAGAAATGAGTGGGGTTGAATTATGCTAAATAGTTGAATCTAACTTGGAACTCGATTGTTTTTCTATGTTTTCTGCAAAGGCCTTTCGAAGTTGGTTTACAATAATTCACTACGAATGTTGGAAGAGAAGACAAGATTAGCAACCTTTTACCATAAATCTACACATAGATTCCTCAAACATAAGATGTTTTTAGGGCACCTCAAAAATTGAAAGAAGATATATCTCAAAATTAGTAAAATCTCACGAAAAATTATGCTACTCCATCCATATATTAAGTTAGCATGCGACAAAAAAAAAAAAGCAAAATTAAACTAGCCCCTATAACTGAAGCGGAAAACAAAATAATGGTAGCTAATTAACAATGGGATTGTTTATTTGGTTCCCTCAGCCAGATGTTAGTTTTTAGGCAAAAGTATAAATTTTTTTGGGAAAGTATTACAATTGAGGGAATTGGATATTAATTTTAAAGGTTAAATAGTGGGTACAATTTTCTCTTTGTATGTGATTATTGTTAGAAAAATGTAGGAAATAACAAATCTAAACTAGACAAATGGAGAGACTTTGAGGCGTGAAAGCACTTTCCTTAAGATGTTATTTGCCTCTGTGTTAGACAAATTACCTCTAGGATATAACAAAGTCTAAGAACTATCAAATGAAAGGAAAAAGTGATTTGATTCTGTCAAAATCCTATTATTTAAAAGAATTAAAATACCTATTCAAAGCACTATCAAAGGATGCAATTCTTATTGAATAGGTGTATAGGTAGTTAACCAATTAATAGATATGTCTGCTAAGTGGCCAAGTGCCGTTGTCAAGATTTTATATATCTTTTAATTCATATTCAAGTGTATGAGATATAAACTGAAATAACTTTCACACCAAACTTTCCCTCCAAACTAATATTTTGGAACAAGTTTGTAAAGGAAACAAGACAATGATGCATATATA